TGGGGTTGGAGACTGTTGGTGGTGGAGGGTGGTGTAGGCTTGGGGGTGTTATAGTTATTGGTGATTTGTGGGTGAGGGTGGAAGGTGGTAGTGGTGGGAAGGCGTTATAGTAGTGATTTTTTTAGATGGGTTGGAGGTTGCGCTCATATGACCTTATGCAGTTGCGAGCGCCGTAAAACCTCTACTAAAACAATAAAAAGAGGGGTGTGTGTTTGTGTGTGTGTGTGTAAGTCAGAAAGATAATGAGAAAGAGTGCGAGAGAGAACCAGCGAGCAAGAGAACTAACCAGAGAGAGAAGGAGAGAAAGATAGAAAGAGAGAGAGAGAGAGAGAGAGAGAGAGAGAGAGAGAGAGAGAGAGAGAGACGCAATTTCTTCTCCCCACCCCCCTCCCCTACACTGTGAGGTAACAGACTCCGGTGGTTGGAAGACAACACTACAGCTCATATTTAATTTTATTACTTGTCTGGTTTTTATTTGTTTGTTTGTTTGTTTTTGTTTTTGTTTTGTTTTTGGGGGTTTTTAGGTCTGTCTGCCTTGGGTTTTTCCAGGACTGAATAATCACATAATACCTTGTCGACAACATGCTTGGCTGTAACCCAAGGTCATCAAGTGGACTTATCCAGGAATGCTGTTCTGTTCAGCAGGAGGAAGCAGCAAACCTAAAACTTGCCCTCTGACCCGACGCCGGTATGAAATAGAAACCCATTTTCCTGGAACGAATTTCATTTAATTTTGTCGTCTTTTTAACCCTATCCGTACGCCCTGGGGGTCATTTTGTACCCTCGGGGTTGTATTCTTCACATTTTAGAATACTTTTAGTGCGAAGATCTCTTTGAAACTTGAGAATTTCTCTAAAAAAGTCTTTTTGGCAGACTGCTATGCAAAGCGTACTGATAATGTAAACGAGTAACTTTCCTCTTTTGAAAGCGGTGGTAAAGAGTTCCTCACGTCGTATGGATACGGCAGTAAAACACGACGTGCGGATTGGATTAAACATTGTAAGGATGTATCCTATTTCGTGGTACGGGTTACCTGACCCGACTGCCACTACATGTAATAAAACTTCCTGCCCCAGCCTGTCTCACAAACCTTCAAATAATTATTCACATTTTGAAGAAACTGTTAGCGGAATAACCAGATCTAGATCTAGTTAAGAAATGAAACTATTCAGTCGGTTCATAGTGTCTGAAAAATCTTTTTTTTTTGGTCCATCACGGCAGTTTTCATGACCTCATAGTATTGTTATTGCACGGGCAATAGCAGTATATTGATTTTGTCAGCTTTGAACGTGACTGTGAGTTATAAAGCAGCTGTGTTAACTCCTTTCGGTTTCGGTTTCAGTGGTGATGATAAGTAAGTTGATTAAAATCACCCTTTTATTTTCATCTACAACGAAGTGGTAACCTTTCGCAAAACCCATCGCCACCCCCCC